AAGTCTTGCTGCTTATCGGTAGCGCATCCATCAGCCCCATAACTCCTGCGTATTAGAGAGAGGCGTTCCGGGAGGTGGCTAAGTGACAAAGCAATGTCAAAGGACCATCCCGAGAGCTGGTGGCAGAGGCTTCTGGGTGAAGTGTTGCTCTTTGGAACGACTAGCTGATTTTCAGGAAACAGGGACATAGGAATGGCCGCACTGCGTCAGACTAAATATCGGTCTGGTCTAGTAGCCTGTCAGGGGTGCTTCATAAAGAATGAACAGGGAATCATTAAGTGGTCTATCCACTCTCGTCCATTTTCAGCTGCTGGCAAACAGAAGCTAGGGTCACCATCCTGCCCATCCTACCTAACAGCCATCGAGGCCAAGCTATCTGCCAGGAATGTTTCTATTCCTTTTTTTGATTCCTGATATAGTCTTGGCCTTCACTACATCTTCTGGCAAGGCGTTGCAAAGGATGACTGTATGTTTGCGTGAAGAAATATTTCCTTTTGTTTGTTTTAAACCTGCCGCTATTTGGTGGCCCCTGGTTCTTGGTCTTGCTACAAGGACTGACCCTAGGTCTTTCTACCCTTCTGTGAGTTCAGGACTTGAGTGCCTAGCTGTAGCAAAGGTGACTCTAGGTCACTTGCGTGCTCCCTTGATTCTGAATAACCCAATGTTTGTTACACCAACCAGGCAAACAGTTTTTTACAGGCAACAGGAACATTTATACTAGCAATCAGTAGAGCTCTTCTGGTCAATGGGCCGGTACCTGTTCACTGCCATTGTATTTTCGTTATTCCTGAATGAGGCCACGAAGTACAAGTCTGATTATAATAATTTATTATGTTTGCTTTTCAGGAGTTCAAACAACCTTCATAGCTGCACAAGTGAAGGACACCGCAGGAAACCTTTGGCTTTCCATCTGATGAACCTTGGAATGACAGGGCACAGTTTCTTATGAATAATTGCACCGCCCGGAGTCTTTCCATTACCAAGATTAGTAGCCAACAGTTACAAATGGGAAGGCGAGAAATTATTGAATAGTAAAGAAACTCAGATGAAGGTAAAGTCTCCCTTTCATGCAACGGGCAGAACAATAGGTAATTATAGTGAGCCAATCAGCAGAAAGGTTTCCCTTTTCCAACACGGATTTAGGCCCGTTTTTTATACTGCTTGGCACCTTAAATGTGCCAATCTGGGCACAAGCAGGTAACATCCCAGGTCCTTGGTGCTCTTGCCTAAACAGAGCGATTTCAGAGCTTGGGACAATTGCTGCAGCTTTGTCTCTCGGGCTCAGTGGCTCTTATCGTACCCGCTAGCCTGTGCCTCCGCGAGTGAACTGATTCTTATAGCTGAGCTGGGATTCCGCAACGCGGCAAGCGACAGGAGGGAAGGGCGAGAGGGGAGGGGGTTATATTCCGAACCCCAAGGCGAAAGGTGGGCTCGAGGCATTGCAGAAAGTTGCCTCCGACTGGGCTCCACTGAGACAAGGGTAACCAGGGCAAGCAATCGGAGAGATTTCCGAGCAAGGCTTAATTTGTGCCAGGGCTGAGCCCCGTCATCGCTAGGCTTCGCAGTTCACAGCCCCGCTCTCCTGGGCTTGCTGCATCGGTTATGAATGCACACACTTGGCTGGGGCTCAGCGCCGCACGGGTTGAGCCTAGTCAGCGCCTCCAAACGAAGCCCTGTGCAGCTCCACGCAGGGCAGGAATGAGAGACAGATACTTTCATCGCCCTTCCTAAAACCCAGCCCGAGGCCAGGCAGGGAACGTCAGCTGCAGGAGTATTTCTAATGCTGGGCATGGGGCTTTCAGCGACCAGTCGAAGCTGTCCACTTGCCGGGAGAGCCCGCTGAAGCTCTGGCTCCCCTAGTCAGTGCTCCAGTCCTGCAAGCCTCTCCCCTGCAGCGATTGCGCCGGCCGGGCACGGCAAGCAGGGGGCCCGCCGAGAGGCGGAAAAGCCGAGCAGTAGCTCTTCCCGGCGGGGGCGGAGGGCGAGAGCCTGGCCCCACGGAGCTCCGGGGGAGTTTTGCAGGGCTGGGTTTTCACCCCTGTCCCCGGGAGCAGCCAGGCCGAGCGCTTCACGCGCAGTTACAGGGACGTCTGACAAACCCACCCGGAGCACGAGCCCTGGAGTGTCGCGCAGGCTGCGGTCGGGCACCTCTGGGCTTTAGCACCGCGCAGCTCCTAGGGCCGCCCCAAAGTTTCCTTTCTTGGGTGCAGGGCTGGGTTTTCACCCCTGTCCCCGGGAGCAGCCAGGCCGAGCGCTTCACGCGCAGTTACAGGGACGTCTGACAAACCCACCCGGAGCACGAGCCCTGGAGTGTCGCGCAGGCTGCGGTCGGGCACCTCTGGGCTTTAGCACCGCGCAGCTCCTAGGGCCGCCCCAAAGTTTCCTTTCTTGGGCCTGGAAGCCCGCGCCCCAGACCCCCGCGCTAGTTCCCCCCGACGGGTCCCTAGCGCCGGGGGAAGCCGCTGTTAGAGAAGCCTCAGCTGAGCCCCGCGGGACCCCTTGGGACTGCTGGGCGGCTGCTCGAGAAACGTATTGACCAGAGGGCTGTGGCTGATTGATGAGCCTGCTGCTTTTATGCCTTCGATCCTAGGAGTCCCGCTGCATTCACTGGGGTCACTGGCTTACAATGCGGAAGGGTTTTCCAAACCTAATAGGCCAGGCCGGGATTAGGGCGCTGTCTCCTCCCCAAGCAGTTAATTCGAGGTCATATTCTGTCGGACAAGGTCACATGCAAGTGTGCGGCAGAGGTGTGCGCTGCTCTTAGCGCCGCTTTCCCCTTCCCCCGAGCCAGCCATGCCGGCATGCCCACTGCCCGGGACTATGCTTTGCTCATCGTGGTCTTAATCCTGCAGTCCATGAGCACCCCCTCCCCAAAGAGCCAGTGGGAGGAACAGTTACTAGGAGGAAACTCCCTGCTAACTACTGCTGTGTGAATATTCATTCTTCTGGAAAAGCGCACGCTAACTATGGGCGAGAGCTCTTGGGGCACAGCTCATCTAGGCCGATGCTGACCCAATATAAAGTTGTACACGTTCCCACATTTCATACGGAATGAAAGCAAAACTAGGAGCGAAAGAGCCTCTCAACCAGTTCCAGCCTCGACTCCGGTGCGAAGAACCCCTCAGAGGAGACGCCTCCTATGGGGATTGAAAAACAGACCCAAATCGCTCCAGTGCCTTGGAGCTGCTCTTCCCTTAGCACAGTGGCTGCCCCTCAGCATAACAAAGGAGGAGTGTCTTGCAGCGGCCCACCGGGGCTGTTTCATTCTTGTTCTTGTTTCTGAATCGAGCCTACCCAACTAAAAGGAGGACCTTACGCTTTCCTGTGACACCCCGGGGTGGTTAATCCAAAATCCAAGAAATGGCTCTCGCTGAGGCCTTTGTTCACTGCTATGAGACACATTATGTCTTATGTAACTCTTATGGTATCAACATTTTGTTAAGTGCTTTGAAGTCTAGTCATTTATTAGGTTTCTTGACTTGCTTTGCTGATATAGGAAGGGCATGTTTCCATTTTTGTTTTGATCTGTGCAAAAGGGCTCAGTAATACAATGGAAAGTGAATTTCCATAAACCTCAACAGACTGCTGACAAAACATGGCAGTGTGTATCCATTTTACCCCACTGAGAATTTTTAACACTTTAATCAATTAGAGTCGGCTAGAGAATTATTAACAGAACCTCGGCAAAATGAGTTCATTCAAGTCAGAGGAGCAGTGGGGAGGGGAGGAAAAGTAAAATCCGATATGTTTAAAATCGATACACACCCAAACGCAAGAAGTTGATGTAATTAATTCTGATGTTAGAGCGTCTTAATTTCAAACGTCAATAAAATAATAAACTAACACTCAAGCAATCCATCAATCATAGGCTTGCTTTTAAAATAAAACTATGTAAAGGCACAGAATCCCTGAATAAACTGCGTTACCACTTACACACGCGGTGGAAAAGTATTTGAGGGGCTTGACAAATAAAGACATCAACTATCAAGGCAAGAAATACGCCTCTTTGGAAGGCATAGTTGGCCTCAGTGGGTTTTGCGAATGTGCTCTCTATACGTAGCCAGTGTGTTTGATACAGAAATAAAGGGCGGTGTTCATTTCCTGTGCAACACCTTGCTTGTGTAAAGTCACCAGTGAAGCAGGAGCTGCTCAAAACTTGCTCTGCCACGTCCCTATTCTGTGACAGAAGAAATGGACGCACGTTGCTTTAATTGGTCTCCCGAGAGCACAGCTGGAGAAGGCGAGTAGCACGATACTTTCTGATAGAGCAGGTGAATGGGAACGCCCAGCAGCTCAGTCTGAGCGGAGTATGAGCGCACCGTTCCAGCCTTAGGCTTCGTGCTGTCGGTGGCAGGCGGCATCCCGCATCACCAGACGAGCCTGGAGACTTGTACCCTGCCCAGTGATGCTCAGCAAAGCCCTTCCAGGGTGCACATGGCGAAGACCAGCCTCGTTGATTCCGGGCGGGTTTGCTGGGGGTTGCGTCCCAAGACAGGTGAATAGCACCACGACTGGCAGGGCCACCCCGGTCCTGCCCGCCAGCCCAGTGGTCGGGCGCAGACAGAACCTCTCGGAGCTACTTTTCCTTTCCCCGCCTCCGCCTACAGGTGCCGCGCGCCCCAGGCGAGTGCAAGCACCTGAGGTGCCAGAGCAGCGCCAGGTAGCACCGCCGGGGCAGCTGGGGGCGGCGGGCAGCGCTTCCCCTGCCCTGCCTGGCGCCGGCGCCGCCTCGCCCCTCCTCCCGCAGGAGCCTCTAGGTGTGTGGACCCCCCTCCCCGCCCAGCGCCTGAGGGTCTCCCTCTCCGGCTCGCTCGCGCTGATTGGCTGGCGCTGCTGGTTAATGGCACGCGCCTGAGGATGTAGTTATAAGAATCCTCGCGTGCCAGCCCTCAGCTCGAGCAAGTCCCCAGCCTGCCTCCCCAGAGAGCCCGCGAGCGGCAGGGCAGGGGCAGGGGCAGCGCCTGCAGCCGGAGGAGGCGCCGGGCAGGGACTGCAGCAGCAGTAGCAGGGGCCAGCGGCTCGGGAGCAGCGGGAGGCTCCTGGCTGCGGGGTCCCCGGGCGGCAGCCGCCCCGCGTGCCCGGGCCGGGGCGCAGCATGGAGACGGTGCTGCTGGAGCATTTCCCCGGGGGGCTGGACTCCTTCTCTTCGCCGCCCTACTTCGAGGAGGAGGATTTCTTCACGGACCAGTCCTCCCGCGACCCCCTGGAGGCGGACGAGTTCCTGGAGCAGGACGTGGACTTCCTGAGCCACCAGCTCCAGGAGTATTACCGGGACGGGGGGCAGGGCGAGGGGGGCTACTGCTGCGAGGCCGCCGCGGCCAACTTTTCCTCCCCCTCCTCCCCTTCCTCGCCCAGCTTCGCCTACGAGTGCTGCGGGGCGGCCGGCTCGGAACTGCTGTCTCCTGGGGGCAGGCTCAAGGCGCTGAGCGCAGCCAAGCGGCGCCGGCGGGTGCGCTCGGAGGCCGAGCTGCAGCAGCTGAGGCAGGCTGCCAACGTGCGGGAGCGCCGGCGGATGCAGTCCATCAACGACGCCTTCGAGGGGCTGAGGTCCCACATCCCCACGCTGCCCTACGAGAAGCGGCTCTCCAAGGTGGACACCCTGCGCCTGGCCATTGGCTACATCAACTTCCTGAGCGAGCTGGTGCAGTCGGACCTGCCCCTGCGGAGCGCCAGCAGCGAGGGCCCCAGCCAGCCCAAGAAAGTCATCATCTGCCATCGGGGCACAAGTAAGTGGACAGCGCAGAGGCGCCCAAGTGCAGATTCCTCCCTGGCGCGCACACGGCTGCATAGCACCTATCAAGCCACCTCCATCACACGCGCACACAGCCAGGCTTGCACAGGCTCTCCAAGGCGTCCGCACGGTGCATTCCCGCACGGTGCATTCTCCTTTGATTCGTTTGTCTGAAGGAATGTGCACCTTGCCTGTTGCCACTACTTCTCTCCTAGCGCAAGACTGCGGCTTGGATAGAGAAGGGAACCTTGCAGAGTGTTTGACACTAGGCACTATCCCCAGCTAAGCGGGAAATCTGGTATTTTCAAACCCAGAAAAGCCGCTATTCTTTGCATGCCACGGGGTAATGCTTATACATTTAGCTGGGTCAGTCTCCTGCATCACTGAAATGACCAAGAACAAAGAGAAGGGGTTCGTGGATTGGTTCCCACTGGTATATGGCAAAATATTTATTTCCCTTTTGATCTCTTTTTCCAGGATCACCTTCTCCAAGCGACCCTGATTATGGCTTGCCTCCTCTTGCTGGACATTCTCTGTCATGGACTGATGAAAAGCAACTTAAAGAACAAAACATTATTAGAACCGCTAAAGTGTGGACCCCTGAAGACCCCAGAAAACTGAACAACAAATCGTCTCTAAACAACATAGAAAACGAACCTCCTTTTGATTTTGTATCATGAAACGTGAATATTTTGACTGTAAATGTAAGCACGACACCAGTGTATATTTGTATGTAAAAACCTATATTTTAAACGTAATTTAAAATTCAAAATCTAATGGCAATCAATGTTTTTATTTATCTATTTATTATCAAGTAGAGATGAGGTAGTATTGTCTATTTGTATTGTAATTTATATAATTTATCCTGATTTTAAAATATGCAATAGTTTTATTCCACCAGCACCTTTGGATAAAACTGTTTGGAAAACACTTCCAGAACATGAAAAATAATTTATTACCACATGTGGACTATTTCTATGTTTGTTAATAATAAAGCTCGAGTAAATCGTGTACACTAGTTTATTTTGTTGGATATCAATCCTAAGACTATCGGGCAATATAACATTAAAGTCAAATAATAAAGGAAAGATAATGAAGTTGGAAGTTTCAGCTAAATCAGAGACAAGTTCCCTTGAAGAAGCCCAAGAATAGCGGTGGCGTTTAAAAGGGCATTTCCTGAAAACAGGGATTGGGGGGTCCGGAGGAGACTTGGTGCACAATGCAAGCGTTGATTATACCCGTACCATTGCCTCTGCACCGGACAGGACTAGCGTGCAGCACACCCAGCGTTTCTGGGGGCCGTGCTTACATGGGGGAGGGCATACTTCCCCTTTTCACTCTACTACCCCCTGAGACGTGCCCCCGCGCAGTGCTCTAACGCCACGGCTTTGTTCATGCCAATGGGCGCGCCCGTGCCCCTGGGCTGCGTTGCAATGACACCGAGCTCCCCGAAGATGGAGGCTGCTACTTCCGCACTAGCTTAACCAGCGCTCCCCGAGCAATTTGCTAGTACCAACCCCGCCACGAGCGTAACTTCTGGGAAACAGCCTGGGTAGCCCGCCCTTAGATCCGTGCAGCGCCGAGCCCGCTCCCCCCGCACGCGGCATCTTGCACCAACCAGCAGAACCCGCGGAAGGAAGCGGACAAGGGACCGGCCTGACTGAGTCAGGGCGGCGGCCCCGCCCTCCCCGGGCCGCACGCTGCCCCCGCGCCAGGCTGCCTTCCAGGAGACGCCTGATGCCAAGGAGCGCCCATCCCGGGGGCGGGGGTCATTTGAGCGAGGCGCTTCTCTGTGGCCAGGGATAAATGACCGGGCCTCGCAGCCCTTACTCAGGTAAAGCGCCCACTGATGTCAAAGCCCTTTGCTAGCTGCCCCTTGGCCTCAGCTGCCTGGGACGAGCCAGGAGGCCGCAGAGCGCGCGCCCCTGGGGCCTTCCACCTGGCAGAGCGCAGGGGGCCAGCGCGGGAAGGGTTAATGCGCTGCTGGGGGAGGGGGTGTCCCAGGGCCAGCGCTCGAACCTAGCTGGGGAGGGGGTGAGGAGCCGGGCTGGGAGGGGGAGCGTGGGCTGCGGGCCTGGTGCTGCTGCTGGCCAGCGCTGCAGGTGCTGATTTTCCCGTGGTACCCGCCGCGCCTCAGGCTCAGCCGCCGACGTCACTGCTCCCGGGAGAGCCCCAGATGCCCACCCAGCCTTGCACGCGGAGTCCCAAGCAGACCTGACCAAACGAGGTGCCCAGGCGGATGGGAACGGCACTGGCGAGCCAAGGTATAATTATTACTCCTCATATACTGGACTCGGTTTTTTAGAGCTCACAAACTGGGAGCAATATGTTGCATGGCTGCTAATTGCATTAACCTAGTTAGACACATTTAGTTGCCCTTGTGCTAGCGCGGATGGCATGGACCACTTCCAATAGCAATTAGAGGAGCTACTTACCCACACAAACACTGCAGAGCTGGGGCTCCGGGTCTTTTTTTTTTTTAAGCTCAAAAATCTGTGTTGGTCTCAGAGTGCAAATCTCCCTCTCTCCGCCATTCTGCAACAACGGGAGGGAGACGTTTGCACCAGAGTAATTGAACTTAACTGTGCTCTTTGGGAGAGAAAAAGAGTCAAACTATAATTCGATTTTGTCCTGTATTAGGACCTCATTAAACACAGAAAGTCGGTTTTGCACAAATGCTTCCATCAGGCATGTAATCTCATTACACTCATTAGAAAGTCAAATGTTAGTCGGACTTCAGCTTAATTATAAGTTATGGAAGTGTTGTACCGTTTTCTTCTGTTGTATAGACCCCTCCGTTTCAATTGGCTTTGGTAATGTGGTACTCCACAATTAAAACACTACCATCATTGTTATGTGGCACCTTTTCTCTGGCGTGCCACTTTTTTTGTGATTCAATGCTTCAACACATCCTTTAGTATGATGCAGATCAAGCGGAAGAGCCGGGCTTCGCATGTAAAACACCAGGGTCTCTATCTTGTCACTCTCCTGTCTTGACTTGGCAAGTCCCTTTAAACACAATCGTCAAAGAGACTGACAGCTTCTTTTTACTTACTCATAATCCATTCATTCTAATGCAGCAGTTCTGCAAACACAACCCGGCAGCAAAAGGCAGAAGGAACGTATCATTCCAGGTCTTCCTGTCCAAAAGGAGAGCAGAGCGCCAAGGCTGAACCCGACACAAGCGCTACTGTGGCAGGAGCCAACGCTGAAATTTGCAGGAGCTGTAGGGTTTTTGCTGGTCAGGAATCCTGCCTTGCACTGTAAGGACCAGCGTGTGGGGAAGCATGAGTGACAGCTATTCAGCCTCTTCTTAATCAGCCTGCCCCTTGTCTCCCAACCACACTGAGAACCATAATTGTAGCAATAAGAATATGTATAAACGAGCTTCCACTCCCCCAGGCATTTACTTTGGCTAAAATGAATGATGTCCCTCTTTAAAACTGAGTTAATCAATCAAAAGACTGTGCCTGGTCAAAGCTGGTGCCGTATTTTAAAAGCTACTTTGATATTTGTACTGCCTAAAAAACCCCCAAACTGCTGAGACTTCCGTGCCAGAGGCTACAGATTACATTGGTTTGAGTTAACATTGCCCCGTTCCCCAACTCAGTTCACACCTGCTCTAACGTGGAGGTATCTTCTGTCAGTGCTAGGAGGAGAAGCAATGGCTATTATGCAGCTATGAAAATAATGCGGCGACCTCGCCTCTCATGCTCCTCTTTGGTGGTTTCTCAGTCTCAGTGCAGGCTGCTTAAGGATGTGACTAATTATAGGCCATACCCCCTCACATTCCCCATGTGAGAAACACACCCGGCCAGCACAGAGATCTCTGATTTATGTTAAAAACAAAGAGAAAAGGAATATCACAAAGGCTGCTTGTATTTTTAAAAGAGACTTCGAGCCATGTAACTTCTCACAGCCTTTCGAGAGGGGGGAATCTGTGTCTAGTAATGTATAGAGCGACACCGTCCTTCTGAGACCAATAACATTCGTGATGCCCCTTAAAGCCCATTGAAAAGACAATTTAATTGTAAAAAAAGACCCCATAAAAACCTGCAGGCATCAATCTCTTTGCCCTAAAATACAGAAAAGGTATGGGAAAGAGAGCAAGCCTCCTTCAGCAAAGCAGTGCGCATAAAGAGTCTGTCATTGGCACTGTGAAATTGTCCCACTGTGATTCCCATGGCTTCTCATCTGCCAATATTAGGATTAACGCCCTATACTGTATAGGATGTGAAGCCTCTTAAATCCATGAACTCATCCCATTTTCATTAATGTATCTTTCGGTGGCATCGAGTACCAGCTGCGAGGTTGAACAAACACCAGTTGAGTGCTCCCTGGTAAATCTCCCTCTTTCCAAAGCATTCTGCAGCCTGTGGGAATGGTCCTAAATAATTCCACAACAAATTGCATTTCAGAGATCTGGAATCATTGGTAGGGAACGATTCCCACGACGGGATGTGAGGTCTGGCCAACAGGTGTTCGGATTTGGCTGAGGGAGATAGGGAAACCCAGGGAGGGAAAGCTTTGCTGCCAGAAAACAGGCTGCTCCGGCGCCTCTTGCTTTACATGGCGTGGAAGCCGCAGACAATCGAAATGATATCTTTATTGCTAGGTTCATGTCCTAGGCTATAACATATCAATCCCTGTCGTGCTTCTCTAGGATGCACCTGGTATTTCAAACTTGGTCTTTTTGTGCTTCTGGGTGCTGGAGTGCAGCTGCCTAAAACAAGCAAAGAGAGAGGCCCTTACAATGTCTCCAAGACGGGTTGGCATGGTTTGCTTGTCTTTAATGTACCATTAACTATTGTCTTTGCACAATATGGGAACTGTAAAGCATGACATGTGTTATAATAAAACACATTTTCAATGATACACTTGGACTTGAAGCTGGGATGCAAGCAAACAAACAGGCCCAAATCTTGTTTTGTCTCCCTTGCTAAGCCTACTGGCAATTAAACTTAAGACCACTGCTTTCCCCCGATCAGCCAATTAAATTTTATGTCTCCTAATTTTTCACATAGAAAAAAAGTCTCAGGGCTGGCCCCTAAAGACATTGATTTTCTTGCTATCACCTGGCGTTCAGACCTTAGTTCCATTTATCAAGAAGGGAAACGTCAGGCGTTACATAAAGTGACTCTGTTACCATAAGGCTCTCACCATCCTGGCCTATTGTTTTCCCTTGTTAATAACTCATTACCAGGATTTAACAAATCAACCATTACATATGTTTTGTGTCTCCATATTTTGATCCGTACGATTAAGCAGATGTTACGATTGAAAATTGAAAAGTCCAAGGCTACTCTAGGCTGAAAGAAAGAGGGCAGCCTCAAACAACGAGCTAACAATGAGATTCAGAAGATCTTCAGAAAAACATTTACGACCAATAAACAGACTCCAACCTGCTCCATTTCAACCATTGTGTGCCTTGGGGGAATAATTAAGTTTAATAGGAATAGGTCTGAAGGGTTTTCAATGCCAAGACCACAGGTGCGGGGTGGCATGATGAATGATTTGCCTGATTTTTGCCAAGCTCAAGGGCCCTTCTCTTGGACTTTCAAGCAGACAGAAAATATTGTCATTTCTTTTAATTCACAGCATTACTTTCAAGGCGAACAAAGGGGAGGGGGGATGAATGGCTCAGGCTGTAAATGAAGCGCGCCCGGGCGGAGGTGGCCTCACTGGAGAGAGGCCTCCATGGCTGAGCGCGCTGCTGCGTTTGTGCGCAAGTGTCTCCCTGTGCCACACAAAGACCTCTCTCCTCCCCCCTCCCTGCCGCCTCCCAACCTCAGCCCGCCCCGACCCGTAGGCTGCGAGCTCCCCGGGGCCTCAGCCCCGCTCCCCAGCGGCTTGAGCCGAGCGTCCGAGCGCCCGCTGCCTCCCTGGCAAACTTGGCCAAACTCTCCCCAAACTCTGCAGCCAGCGTCTGTGGAGGGACCCCGGCCAGAGGCGCGCATGCGCCCCGCCTCTCCCCGCTGCTCCCAGAACTC